GTTACTAGTAGCGATGCACTTGTTTCTAATAGCTTCTTGTTACTACTTTAATTGTAGCGTTCTTCAAATGTTTCTCTCCTTTGAATGCTTGGGAACACCCATCTACACATGTCAACTACAATGGGTCCACCAGGTGCACACCTCCTCTGAAGTGCAGAAGATCTCATGGGAGGATGGTGGCTGGCGGGTGACGTGGTTTGACACAGAACAGCGCCAGCAAGTCTTCAAGTTCGTGATCGTTGCAAGTGGTCCCTTGGCCACCTTATAGATTGAAAGGCCTCAATGTAATCTCAAACAAGGGTTTCAGGATGTGCAATGAGGCAAATGTTGTATTTGTGGTGCAATGAGGCATTTTCTCGGAGCCCAATGTCACGCTGCCGGGACTGGATACCTTCTCAGGAGTGCGGCCTGAGTTGGGTGGACTTCCATTGACATTGGCGAACTCTGTGTGCGTTTTGTTCAAATGTGTTTAGTGCAACATTTGCACTTTCTTCTAGCTTCCAGCTCAGCAGTAAGCCTGACGGTACCCCTGTCATCATGTAATTGACCAAGTTTGATATTGGTTTGCCCAATCCCAGTACTCTTTCTTTTTGAGCAGCTCCGGAACGTGTTTTCAAAACAAACAGGCTGGCAATCAGCGTTTGTTCATTGCTTTTGTACTCTTAGTCTTGGTATGTGATGAGCAAGGCTTTCTATTTCATGCTGGCACAAAGTCAAAGACCCACCTGAGTTACCTACCTCCTTAGATTCCCCACTCCATGCCATTTTGCCAGGCCATGTGTCGCACAGTTCCTCCTATCGCGAGCCTGTGCCGATTCAAGGGCAGACACTGGTGGTGGGCGGTGCCTTCAGTGGAGCAGACGTGGCGGCTGAGATTGGGGAGCACAACCATGTTACTGTTGCAATGGGGTCGGACCCCCTGTGGTTTCTGCCCAGGCATGGATTGTGAGAGAGTCCATGGTGCACTTTCACAAGACTTGTGTGGGGAGAGGAAAGAAGCCTCAAGAAGGGATGCCTTTGCTATTTTGTTCTGCTACTAGTATGGGTCTACCAGGTATACCAGCATCTTTCTTGAGACAGCAAATTCCAGAGCACCTGCTTCACGTTCATAGGTACATCAAAGGGAAGCCGGTGGACCTGCTTTTCTACTCTCGAAGTGCGCATTTGAAACTCGTCTTTGATCGCACGCGTGAAAGAGTGGGAGATGGCAATCAACTGATGGTAATAACTGATGTTTCATCCGGGAGACAGACACGGAGAGGAGTCGGTAGTACAGATTCGTCACCAAAGGCCGGTCCTTTGAATGCATGCAAGAAAAGGGATTATATACGAAAGCGCGTCTCTACCTTGCTTGCAATTTGCGGCTCAATCCCTTTGCGCACCGCTCACTTTCGATCAGTTTGTTTAATTAGGTCCAGGTTGCTTTTCACCAACTTTGCCTTCTTCGCCGAGCCTGAGATGGAGGGAAAGACAGACTCTTGGTCTCCTGAAGGGCTTGACTCCATCGAGGACATCGAGGCGGCGATCGGGAAGATGGATGAAGAGCGTTCGGGAAGCACCGAGGTCCCTGATGTCCCCCACCAGAAGCCTTCAGAGATCACAATGGACCAACAGCGCTCCTCCAGATCCTCAAGGGTGGTCGCGGCCGCTGTAAGTCTAGGACAGAAGCTTGAGCAGCGCCAAGAGATCGTGAGGAGCAGCCAGCATGAATGGTGGACCTACAAATTTGCTCAAGTGACTGCATGGGTTATCCAGATTCTGTTCTCCCTCGCCTCCCTACTTTTGCTAGTTCTATGGATTCGACATGTTCATCCTGAGGCCTATGTCGTCACCTTTTTTGTGATGGTGATTGCAGCTTTGGCCTATTTAGCCAAGGTGACAGGCATGGGTGACGCTGTAATCGGAGGCCGGAAGGTGCCAATTATCAGGTACATTGATTGGATCGCCACTACTCCATTGATGCTCTTCGAGCTTTGCATGATTGGCGGAGCAGAGAAGCATACCTTCTTCATGGTAATTGGCTACTTGGAGCCGAGAAGCATACCTTCTTGCCAGGATATATATTTTCAGAAGGGGTGGCCATGGGGCCTGGGTTTTTGGTTTTCTGTATTTGTAGACAACTTTTCACAAATACAATCAAAACATGTCAACACCACAAAAAAGCAAATACAATCAAAACCAAAAAAACACTGAATAATTTGCAGTAAAAAACAAAAACTTGAAAAAACACAAACAACAACAAAACCTTGGGAAACCCAATAACAACCTACGGAAAAAAACATGGGAAAACCAGAAACAAACAAACAAAACACAATTCTCAGAGACTCTTGGCTGGACCCCCCCTTTCCTCAAGACTTCCCGAGAGTTGTTTTTCCCAATGTGTTTTTGTGTTTTTCCTAGGTTGTTATTGGTTTTCTCAAGGTTTCTTTGTTTTCCTATTTAGGTCAATCTGTGTTATTGCTATTTCGTTCAACCTTCAAGCATATGAGCCTAAGTCTCACCTAAAGGCATATGTTCTTTGCTCTTACAATGAAAGCGTCTGAGCCCAACACTACCTTTGTCCTTGTCGAAATCTCCATGTACAAGTCTGTGCATTAACTTCTGATTGGTATCAATGTGGTAGCCAATTGCATGTCCAATCAGCTTGACATGAAACTGTAATGACACCTTCCAATTTACATGAAACTGTTATGAATCTGTGTAAGCTGTAGTTCTAATTCAATGCTTGTTGCTTTTGCTTCGGCTTTGTAATTTGGAATCCTCCTCGACTTGTGCATCTTGTAGCTCAAGCGTTTTACATCTTATTCTGGTGAACTTCTAATTTTAATTCCAATGCCTTTCTAATTCAACTCTCATCTAATTTTAAATGGGTTATAGTTATAGTTCAATACAAGTTTAGTTGAAATTCGGTTTTAATTCAGTTCTATCTTAGCTCTAGCTCAAATCCAATTTAATTATACCTAATTCTATTCTAGCTCTAGTCTTTTTAGCTTAAGAAAACACATGCTACAAAACCCCGTGTTTTACAGTATTTGTTTGCCCTGGGAGTGCTGGGAACAAGACTAAAACTCTTTTTTGGAGTAATAGTTAGATTTATTTATTTACAATAATCACTGGAAATAATATAGACATATTAACAATGTTTTATGTACAAGATTCTAATTCAAAAGCTTCCCTCTATATAGATCTCTGGGGATGATCATTTCTACAATAAAACTATACAAAAGCTTTCATTTCAAAAACTTTCCTCTGGATCTCTGGTAATGGTCATGTCAATTTAAACATGCTTTACATCAATAAATAAATGTTTCTTTCAAGAGCTTTCCTTTCATGAAAACAGACATATATGGGATATCTACTTTCCCAGAGATCCAGAGGAAAGCTTTGAACATGCAAGCTCTTACCTGCAGAAATCTAGAAGAAAACTTTTAACATACAAGGTTTCTATATAGTTGTTTAAGCTATCGCCGCTGTTAGTGACCCCAGAGGAAATCGCGATTTTATGGTGCTGTCAGGTTGATGCTTCCTTGTTGATGTGGGGTGGGGTGGGGTGGGGTGGGGCATGTTAACGTTCGCTTGCACTTGCGTCACGAAGTTGATGCTTCGTGGTTGATGTGGGGTGACGCAAAACGCGTCGATCAATATGTCCGCAGTTTTCAGTTTCGGTGGAACAACCGAGGAAACTTGCTTGAGGCGTTGGCCCGAACGTGGCCGCAAGTGTAAAGAAAATACACCTGCAAAATGCGTGTGCGCCAAAAAAGAGTGCACTTTCTGCTCTTCCCCAATCTAAATTCCACCTTACAAGTGCTGACCCTTGTGAAACATGGGATGAAAGCACATATGATCCAAATGAAAAGCATGGGAGGTTTTGAGCACTGCCACTTTGGCCATGTGCGAATCGCACAGGGTCACTATTAGCGGCGGTACCTTGTTTAAATCTAAAAAGCATTATCTGCAGAGATCTATTAGAGAATCTTTTATAACATAAAAGCGTCTATATAAAATCGTTCCAAATCCAAACATAACTATAAGCAGAGATCTACAGGACAATTGTTTAAAAAAACACTTTTATGGCCTGCTTCTTTCCCAATTATCTTGTTCAAAACCAGCTGAATGACTGATTGCTGCTTCCAAAACAATAAAACAACCCTGACTCAGGAATACATAATATATTTGTTCATATATAGAGAGAGCAGGAATAGATTATATGTGTGTTTATATGGAGAGGGGCTGCCACTGAAACATTTACTTAAGATTTTGGGAAAACCAAAACCCAGGCCCCATGACCACCCGCTCTCTATATTTTTCCCCGCAAGGGAAAACAGGAAAACACATGTCTTCTTAGATTCTTGTGCGACCCCCGCATGGGCATTTGGTTGGTGTCAAGTTCTGGATCATCACCTGACCTAGGCTGTGACCTGATGATGCTCGCAGGAGGCATTGTGAGTGCCATGATCGTGCCGAAAAAAAAGGTGGGCCTGAAGTATCTTTGGTTCGGGTCATCGGTGCTCTTCTTCTGCCTCATGATCGCAGCATTGCAGGTTGATGTGGCCAATGGTACAGTGAAAAAGCGACCCGCAGATGTGCAACAGCTCTTCAGTCAGCTTGAGTGGCTGACCATCATCTCATGGACTGGCTATCCCATCGTCGTGCTCTTGGGCCGTGCTCATGCAGGTTTGATCTCGAAAGGAACGGAAGATGCCCTACTTTGCATGCTGGATTGTATCTCCAAAATTGGCATGGAAGGCTTTGTGGTTGCAACTTGCTCAATGGAAGGAGCTCAGTGCCATGTCAAAGACAAATAGTGGCACAATTTGCGAAGCGATCAAAACCAGATCAGGTTGGGTCGTTTTTCCCTGTGTTTATATTACTGGCAGGGATTGTTTCTTTTCTCAAGACCCAAATGGATCGATTTTCTGAAGGCAGTTGTGGAACTTCTGCTGCACAAAGGCTCCTTTCTTTCAATTTTCTTAAACAAGCTTTTTCTGCTGGACAGCAACGCTGCTATCACAGCACATCTGCACTTTGCAGCCGAAAGAGAAGGAGATATATAAATTAAGAGCTTCCTTGAACCGACTTATATGCCTCATGCCTTTTTGATGAAACTACAGGGGAGACCGTATGAGACCGAGTGTGCATCAGACTGCATTGGCCATTCAGGAAATCCAAGGGCGCCACAGAGGACGAGAAGAATGAAAGGCGACACAGTTTCTTTCGGTCGCTTTTGGGGGAGTTGCCTGAGCCATTGGTGACTCCTCAGCATGACGCTCAGATGGAACAGCTCATGGACAGAATCACTCAGGTTCTCAAATTACTAGGAATGGCAAACTTTGCAAACTTTCGAGCTGAGCTTTATGTGCAAGTATCAACACCCGTCCCAACCCCCGCTGTGTTCGCGAAACTATCATTTTGGATCGTACTTGTACGTCCCATGTCATGAAGGAACCACATGCATTCCTTGAGGAGAAAGGGCACTTGCCTTTCGTTTGCATCTCGGACGACTTTCTTGACGCAGTGAAGTCTGGCCGTGTCAAGGTTCGAGGCAGAGTGAAGGAGGCACTTCGTTGAGGGGGTGGGTGACGGTGTCGGAGCGGTGACGGAGCCGTGACGGTGAGGGTGGTACCGTAGTGTTTCTAATAGCATTGTTCCTCATAGCTTCTTGTTCCTAGTAGTACGGCCAGGAGCCCCGGGCCCCTAGTAGCTTCTTGCTCCTACCGTAGATGGACGAAATATTCAAACCGAGGACCCCTTCTACCCCAAAGC